TTTTCTCTTTTCTATCTAACTTTGGACAGCAATTTCTCATTCATCCGGAATTGATTTTGAGATTCAAAATATACCACGACAATCTACTCAACGAGTATAACAAGTTAGTATATTTATATTCATAATTTGACTATCGAATCAAGTTCGAATATTTGGTCGAAATTGACACGAAAATCACTTTTCCATATTTATACTTAACTAATTTATTTTTTTCATTCTCTAAACCAAATTCCAACAGTGCATTGGACAACATGCCTCGACCATTAACTATGTCCCTAGAACACTTATCATAGATGTAGCATGTTATTCAAAGGCATAGCATAAGTGAACTCATCTACACTTTACGAAGGAGTAAATCGACTCTTGAGAATTGTGCATTTGATTGACTAATGATATTCTTGAGTCGAGGCCCCTACAACAAAACCGAAGAGTTGTAAACTTATAGTAGGGTTGTAGCGTTCAATTCAAATGATGGATTTGCTCGGCACAATTAATATGTCACATTGATGAATAATATTAAGACCATGTTTGGTTCCACTAAAAAAGTATATTAAAATTCAATTTAAAGTCAACATTTAATTTTAACCACATATTTCATGGAACCCACAATTTTTCAAACGTACACCATATCAACTTTTTTGAACATCTAATAAAAATCTATTTTTTATCTAAATCAAATGGAGCTAAATAAGAAAACAAAAAAGCATTTCACGAGAAACTCTTTTTTTTTTTTCCATCATGTTGAGTCCACTCCATCACATGACTCAATTAATTATTATATCTATGATATCTTTCTTCCCATAGAGCTTTTCTTTTCAAAAATTATTTTCAAGACTTTGGTTGGTCTAACCTGTTATACTCTATTTAGATTTCATTTTTTTACCAAAAAATTACTTTTCAAAGTTAAATTTTAATTTTAAACTCACATTACGTAAAATCCACGAGTACCATTCATTTATCGATCACTCGTTTCTAGAAAAGTAACTTTTTAATAGAAAAAATGAAATCCGAACCTTGAATACTTTGATTAGGGTGAAGCTGTAATGATTATTAGGCTTTATTCATATTATTACAGTAATCATAACTATTTGTGAAGAATTAGGATGATTTAAACCTTACTCGTGCGTTAGGCCATTTTGGTCATTACCATAAAAGGTTGGTAACCGTTGTCAATGTTGGATCGTTAGTATATGTAAATGATTATTTAGACAAAGAAAATATTTAAGTTTAATTTGCAGGAGCATATTTAAACTCTAGAAACGGAAAGAAAGAAGGTTAAAAAAAATTGAAGTGAAAACACTTTCTCCTTAAGACAATATTGCCATATAACGGTACTAACGGTCTATGACACTTATCTCCCAAAATATAACGGATACAACTTGTGGTAGAAGCACTTCAAACCACAAGTAATAACGAACTTTGAACGAAAATTTTCCTCTACAAGAAAAATGGTTTTGGAAAAACTTTTGAAAAATATTTTACAAGAGTTTTGATGTAATACTCAATGCAAAATGATATGAGATGCATAATGGACGTCCAAATGGTCATATTTATAGAAGAGGATGGGTTGCGAGTGAAGTCTCATGCCCCAATCTCAGCAACCATCATGAAGGGAAGCATCTCTTATTATCGCGGTCTTTCATTCAAGCGACGGTGACACCTATTCATCAGAACCTCTCTCGCTTGGCATATCGCTAGACTGTCACTCGAGCTATGGAGTTAGGCATTTTATCCCAGCCAGTATTTCCTCTTTTCTGTCTAATTTTGGACTGTAATTTCTCATTCATCCAAAATTGGTTTTCAGATTTCAAATATACCACAACGATATATTCGATAAGTAAAACAAGTTATTCTATTTATATTCATAATTTAACTATCAAATCAAGTCTAAATATTTGGTCGAAATTGACACGAAAGTAACTTTTCCATATGTATACTTAACTAATTTTTTTTTATTTCAATTTCTAAATGAAATTCCAACAATTCCCCATATGAATAGAAATTGGAATATACTCGTGCTTCCGACCTTGAACATTTCTTAGTGAAATACTAGCGAATTTATTTGGCTAATTGGCAAACGTGATGTCTTGAATCATTCAGCCATTAGTTTAAACCATGATAATAATCCTTACACAGATGTCTTTCCTAAATCATTCATGGTTCGCATGACTTGGTTGCTCCAAGTTGAACAATAGATTTCCTTTAGTGTTTCTACTATCTTCCTCGATCCTCAAACGGACCATCAATTCCTCCAAGTTCATCTCTTTGCGTTTGTGCTTGAAATAGTTCTTGAAATCTCTCCACATAGAATGAAGTCTCTCAATGATGGTTGGAACTTGGAAGGACCCATTCAATTCCATCTTTTCAGTATTTATGTCATGAAGTAGAATTTGAAGTTCTTGTACTTGACTTATCACGATTTTGGAGTATATCATTTTTGTAGTCCAAAAACTTGCAAACAATAAAAGTATTTGTTCTAGTATCATCGATCTCTTACTTCTTTTCCAATGAATCACATAGATCATTGATCGAGTCCATCGAACTATACACTCCATAAAGTGTATTGTTTAATCCATTTACGATGTAATTTTTCCAAAGAAAATCTTAATACTTCCATGCATCCAATGCAATAATTGGATCACGATTATTTTTTCCTTCTTATGCAGTAGGAGCTCTTTCTTTTAAGAACTTTGTCAAATTCAAAGAGTAATATAAAATAATATCTCTTGTTGTCATCTTTTAAAATCTACACTTGCAAACTTTTTCGATTTTTTCCCTAGTCGGATATGAGAGTTTGATATACGTATGGCCAAAGGCGAAACTATACGGTTCGTAACATTTGTTGTTTGACTCGAAGTCGTCTTGACAGTATTCATTTCTTTTATTAACCGAAGTTCAATGTACAAAATAATGAATGAAAGAAATAGCACACATGCTTAAAGATGAAAAAGAATGTCTAACAACAGCCACAAACAAACGAATATTGTCTTAAGAATGTTGGATCATTAGTATATGTAAATTATTAATTAGACAAAGAAAATATTTGAATTTAATTCATAGGAGTATAATTAAACTCTAGAAATTGAAAAAAAAAATAAGGTAAGAAAAAGGAAAATGAAGCAAAGAACGAAATTCGAGGTAAGTGAAAAATACTTTCTCCTTAAAACAATATGGCCTTGCAATGGTGCTAACAGTTTACAACAATTGTTTCCCAAAATACAATGGATACAACATGTGGTATAAACACTTCAAACCACAAGTATCATCGAATTTTGAACGAAATTTTCCCTCTACAAGAAAAATGGCTTTGGAATGACTTTTGACGATTTTTTGTAAGAGTTTTGATATAATACTCAGTGCAAAATGATATAAGATGCATAATGGACGTCCAAATGATCCTATTTATAGAAGATGAGGGATTGTGAGTGAAATGTCACACCCCAATTCAGTAACCTTCACGGAAGGAATCATCTCTTGCTGCCGGTGGCCTTTCTTTTGAGCGACAATGACACTTATTCATCAGAACCTCTCTCGCCCATGCGTCGCGAGACTGTCACTCATCACTCAATAGGCGAGTTATGGAGTTCGGCATTTTATTCCAGCCAATATTTTCTCTTTTCTATCTAACTTTGGACCGCAATTTTTCACTCATTCGGAATTGATTTTGAGATTCAAAATACACCACAACGATCTACTCAACGAGTAAAATAAGTTAGTCTATTTATATTCATAATTTGACTATCGAATCAAGTTCGAATATTTGATCGAAATTGACACGAAAGTCACTTTTCCATATTTATACTTAACTAAATTTTTTTTTCACTCTAAACCAAATTCCAACAGTGCATTGGACAACATGCCTCGACCATTAACTATGTCCTAGAACACTTATCATAGTTGTAGCATGTTATTCAAAGGTATAGCATAAGTGAACTCGTCTACACTTTATGAAGGAGTAAAGAGACTCTTGAGAATTGTGCATTTGATTGACTAATGATATTCTTGAGTCGAGCCCCTACAACAAAACCGAAGAATTGTAGAGTGAACTTATAGTAGGGTTGTAGCGTTCAATTCAAATGATGGATTAGGTCACCAAGTGGTTTTGCTCGGCACAATCAATATTTCACATTGATGAATAATATTAAGCCCATGTTTGGTTCCACTAAAAAAGTAGATTAAAATTCAATTTAAAGTCAACATTTAATTTTAACCACATATTTCATGGAATTCTCAATTTTTCAAAAGTTCATTATATTAACTTTTATGAACATCGAATAAAAATCTAATTTTTATCTAAATCAAACGGAACTAAATAAGAAAACTAAAAAGCATTTCACGAGAAACTCCTTTTTATCCCCCCATCATGTTGAGTCCACTCCATCACATGACTCAATAATTATTATATCTATAAAATCTTTCTTCCCATAGAGCTTTTCTTTAAAAAAATTATTTTTCAGCACTTTGGTTGGTCTAACCTGCATGATCAATCATAATCACACGTAGAAAGTTACTTTTCAAATTCAAAGTAATTCATACTCTATTTAGATTTCATTTTTTTTTTCCGAAAAATTACTTTTCAAAGTTAAATTTTAATTTTAAACTCACATTAAGAAAAACCTACGAGTACCATTCATTTATCGATCACTCGTTTCTAGAAAAGTAACTTTTTAATAGAAAAAATGAAATCCGAACCTTGAATACTTTGATTAGGGTGAAGCTGTAATGATTATTAGCCTTTATTCATATTCATATTATTACAGTAATCATAAATTCATAATACTTTTAAAATTAAAATGTCCATGAGAATAAGACAACATGTCAGTCCATATCTTGACATTCCGTGACCTTCAAAGCACATTACTATTAAACTATTAATTCCTCAGTCTTTTTTCCCCTCTATAAAAAGCATGTCGCTATATGTTATGCATATAGCTCTGCGTTTGGGGGAAAAACACATACATATACACACAGAGAGAAGATAGATACAGATGTCATCCAAAATGCAGAGGAGAATGGCATTGCGAAGAAAGCTTCACATTTTGAAAACTCTAACAAATTCCAAATCAGTAATACTCAGTCACACGAGTTTATAACTTGTGCTTGAACTCTATTTTTCGAACTTTTTGTTTTGATTATTGTTTTCTTGTTGCTTGTGAAGGTGAAAAAGAGTTCCATTATAATGGATGCCTTTCTCTATATCTACAAGTTGAAGCTCCAAGTAGAAGCCATCCAAAGAGAATACCAGTACCTCGTAAATCATATCCAAGTATGTATATATATCTCACCCACACATGCTATAGAGAGTCGGGTTTAGAAGTTAATCTTGTTGAGATGAATAGTCTAAATCATTCCCTATACGTTGATTAATGATTCATCTTTAGTCGATGTAAGAATTATCTCTTAACCTACACATTGTGATGTGTATATTAGGCAGATTTGTACATAATTAAAAGAAATCTCCTTGGTTATCCTGTCGAGTAGTGTCTGATAGATTGATGTGCCAAATATGTCCAAGTGAATGTTTGGTACATTATGTTTGATAAAACACAATTTCAGTTTGCAGGGATTGATTGATAAACGTTTTGAGCAGATTTTGATAAAAAAATTTATGAAATATGTGGTGGAAAAATCAAAAGTCGAGGATCCCATGAAATATTTGTTTAAAATTAATTATTGATCTTGATCTCAACTTTTTTAACAACTTTTTAAGCTTTTCCAAATAATCACTAAAAAAAGAAGCTAAAATCTTGTTTATCTTATTTAGCCGTCTCATCAAGTGAATACGTATGTGGGTTCTTTTTAATCTTTTCGAGATTTTGATTATATGAAATGTGCATGAATTGAACAGGAAGTGAAGGTAGAGAAGGATGGGACAAGATATGTAGTGAGGGTGACATGCAAGAAGGGAGAAGATTTGTTGGTGTCAATTATTGAAGCGTTTGAAGAAATGAATCTTAATGTCCTCGAAGCCAAAGTCACCAGCAAACACTTCTTTGGAATGGAAGCCATTGCTGAAGCTAAAGGCCATGACATTGATTCAAGAATCTTGACTCAAACCATTCTCAATGTCATTCAAAGGCCAACTGGAAATGGGGCTATCAATTAATAGAAAACAGACGGTTCTCAGTTAAGGGTCTTGTTTTGTAATTTTGGAAATGTCACCTACTTTTTGGAGTGAAAAATTGATAAAGTGACACCACCCAGAGGGTGGCTACTTTCCCTAGAAATTTGAAAAATCACCTAAAAAAGTTTGTATGTGTGGCCTATGTTATATATTCATGAAAACTTGTTAGCTCCATTGGTATTCTTGCTCGACAGTTTCTTTACATATGGGCATAATAAACCTTAAACATAAATTATTAAATTTAAATTAACAAAAAAAAGTTAAATAGTTTACGTAACTATTATTGAATATATAAATATAAATCTACACGTAAAACTTTAGACCGAGATATTTCAAAGCGATATCTGATGAGTGAAAAAAAAATCTTGAATAAGTCAAAATCCATCAAACAGCAATTACTATCATTTGGACAAGGCGTGAATATTTTTAGTTAATCTTATTTAGAAAAATTTCAAATGAATAATTTTATATTGATTTCTCAATTTAACATTAGAGATAATGTATAAAATATTACGAAAATTCACAATTTTGTGTGAATTTTGTTACAGCCCACAGAGTGACCCGTGCATTTTCGTCGGTCGCTTATGATTGATGATTTTGTTTGTTAATCCAATTGTATTCCAAATTGTTTCTTCGGCTGTTTGCAGCTATTTTGTTTGCTTGCAGCTACCTTTCAAGATACATTTTCAAATTTTACAAACTTGAGGAAAAATTTCAAAAATCGGGTCATAAATAAAAATATAAAAATAATTTAATTTAATTTATTATTCCTTAATTAAAGAAAAGTGAAATGGTGATATGTTATAATCGATTTTCATATCTCCATTCAGCTGAATTGATACAGCATCACCGATCAAAGATGGACGGAAACCCCCAATCAAACTCTCATAAATTCGTACTCATTCAGTCACAATTCTGTCATGTTCTTCATATTGACAGGATGAATTTTCGGTTTGAAGTCACAAATTCTTGAGCCTACATTATATGTCATCATCATCTCCATTTAACCCACAGATTTACAACTTTTGGTTTGGAGTCACAGTCACAGAGCATTGGTTTGAAGTCACACAGCACTGATTTCCTTCCTGGGTCATTATTACGGATATAGAAGGATCCGCAAGATCCTCCTATGTTGTATCGTTTATCAAAACCCAATCCCATGATTGTAGGCAATCCCTTGATTATAGACAATAGCTATAGATGGAAATGTTGACTTTGTACGTAAATCATCTTGCTGTAATATTGCTATGTATATTCTATAAATGAGACATGCACCACCAGACAACTTCACGGTGGTTTTTCAAACCTTGTCATGGTATCAGTAGTCCTCTAAGGATTCATCTCCATCGATCCAAATGGCCCCTAAAACTCCGTCCCCTACTCTGTCTTTCAACACCATGGTCCACCTCTTGACCATCAAGTTATATTCTTCCAACTTTCTGCTCTAGCGTAGTCAAGTGCTGTCATTGCTGCAGTGTCAATGTTACAACCCATTTTCTATTAATCAAAAGTCAAATATGGAATTGTCAAAGTCATAGTCAAAGAGGACTCAAGTGAAGCAAATTAATTTTCTTGGATTCCCTGTAAAATATTTTCTTACTACCCATTTTCCACCCTTACAATCAAACGAATCCTAACAAAAAAAAAAAAAAAAGTTAAATAGTTTACGTAACTATTATTGAATATATAAATATAAATCTACACTTCAAACTTTAGACCGAGATATTTCAAAGCGATATCAGATGAGTGAAAAAATAAATCTTGAATAAGTCAAAAGCCTAATAAACAGCAATTACTATCATTTGGACAAGGCGTGAATATTTTTTGTTAATCTTATTTAGAAAAATTTCAAATGAATAATTTTATATTGATTTCTCAATTTAACATTAGAGATAATGTATAAAATATTACGAAAATTTTGTGTGAATTTTGTTACAGCTGACAGAGTGACCCGTGAATTTTCGTCGTTCGCTTATGATTGATGATTTTGTTTGTTAATCCAATTGTATTCCAAATTGTTTCTTCGGCTGTTTGCAGCTATTTTGTTTGCTTGCAGCTACCTTTCAAGATACATTTTCCAAATTGATACAGCATCACCGATCACCTCCCGAAGATGGACGGAAACCCCCAATCAAACTCTCATAAATTCGTGCTCATTCAGTTACAATTCTGCCATGTTCTTCATATTGACAGGATGAATTTTTGGTTTGAAGTCACAAATTCTTGAGCCTACATTATATGTCGTCGTCATCTCCATTTAACCTGCAGATTTACAACTTCTGGTTTGGAGTCACAGTCACAGAGCACTGATTTCCTTCCTGGATCATTATTACGGATATAGAAGGATCCACAAGATCCTCCTCAAATCATGCTGTATCTTTTATCAAAACCCAATCCCATGATTCTAGGCAATCCCTTGATTATAGACAATAGCTATAGATGGAAATGTTGACTTTGTACGTAAATCATCTTGCTCTAATATTACTATGTATATTCTATAAATGAGACGTGCACCACCAGACAACTTCACGGTGGGTTTTCAAACCTTGTCATGGTATCAGTAGTCCTCTAAGGATTCATTTCCATCGATCCAAATGGCCCCTAAAACTCCGTCCCCTACTCAGTCTTTCAACACCATGGTCCACCTCTTGACCATCAAGTTATATTCTTCCAACTTTCTCCTCTAGCGTACGTAGTCAAGTGCTGTCATTGCTGCAGTGTCAACATCTCCTTGGATATGTTGATGGCTCCATCAAATTGATAGACCCGCAATCCACATGACATACCACCAGAGGCACAAGAAAGGATCAAGGGCAGAATAGGGAATTGGTTAGAGAGCAGCCACATGCACAGCCACTCAGTTAGTTAGACAAGTCAGTATAAATAGTAGCAGGGATAATGTGAAAAGGGGGGAAATCAGTGGAACAGTAGGAAAGTATTGGCCTCTCGAATGCCAAATATCTATATTTTCTTTTCTTCTTTACAATCAAAGAGCTGAGTGTATTTCATTCTGCTAGGTGACAATCAATATAGAGTTGTTTCCATTCTTCTTTACTGTCTTAAATTACTGATTGTTCAGGTACCTATCATTGGTATCAGAGCACTACGATCGGGATGGTGAATTTATCAGATCTAGTAGGAGATTTGGAAGGGGTACACAGGAAAATGCAGGAACAAATGGAGGGTTTGCAATCTGGGGTTGATAGTATGCGGCTAGATTTGCAAAGAGTCTAGGCTATCGAGAAAAACATGTCCTTCATACTAGAGCAGTTCAATTTCATGAGAACGAAATGGGAGGAAGGGGAAAAAGAGAAAAAAAAGCAAAGGGATCGAAGGAGGAATGGAATCAGGGTATACCTTACTCTCTGAAAACTCTCCAGGGGTGGAGACAAGCAATCGAGCTGGAAGTGGGAGTGCAGGTGAAAATTGGAGATCAGAAGTAAGGGGAAGAAGGCTAGAAATGCCGGTATTCTTAGGGAAGAATCCAGATGACTAGATCTTCAGGGCTGAACGATATTTTTTGGTGAACCAATTGACAGAAGTGGAGAAGCTAGAAACGGCAGGACATTGTTTTGACGGTGAGGCTCTCTCCTGGTTCTAGTGGGAGCAGAAGAGGAGGGATATAAGAACTTGGGAGGTGCTCAAAGTGTTGCTAAGATCTCGATTCAGATGTTCTGTAGAGGGCTCCATGGAAGAACAATTCCTAGCTCTGCGACAAGACGGAGAGTGATGGAGTATCGGATGGCCTTCGAGACTCTTGCAGCGCTGATCGGAGAGGTTTTTGACGCCATATTAGAAGGCCATTTCATAAATGGAATGAAACCAGAAATAAAGGCTGAAATCCGGGTATTAAAGCCTGTTGGGCTCGAACAGATAATGGAGCTAACCCAACGGATCGAAGAAAAAAATATGATGTGGCAGGTTCGATTCAGTAGATCTGACCCAATAAGAAATAATAAATCAGCCCCCAACCCAAATTGGCAAAACCCTCCATTTCGATAGGCGATTCAGTCAGTTCACTCCACCAAAAACACTCCAACCTTTACGCAAACGGAACCATGCCTGGGGTTCAGAAACGCAACATCTCCAGGTGACGCTGCTCAGAAATTTAAGAAACTTAGTGAAGCGTAGTTCAAAAGTAAGCGTGAAAGGGGACTGTGCTTCCGCTGTGACGAAAAATTTTTTGTAGGACATAAGTGTAAGAACAAAGAGCTGCAGGTTCTGCTTGTGTATGATGAGGAGCTAGAGAAAGGATGGGAAACGGAGGTAATGAAGGAAGACCCAGAGAGAAATGAGCAATTCATTACTGGAGAAGTGGTAGAGTTGTCCATGAATTCTGTGGTTGGCCTCACTCCACCACAAACTACGAAAATTCGAGGAGTGATTTCCGGGCAGGAAGTGGTGGTACTAATTGATTACGGGGCTAGTCACAATTTTATTTCAGCTGAGTTAGTCCAGAAATTAGACTTGAAGAGAACAGAGACCGTCAGATATGGGCTGATCATGGGAACGGGGATGGCGGTGCAAGGCGCAGGGGTGTGCAGAGGGGTACTTTTATCACTCCAAAATATTGATGTAGTTGAGGATTTTCTTCCTTTAGACTTGGGCAGCTTTGATGTGGTTGTGGGGATGAAATGGTTATCATCACTAGGGGTAACCAAGATTGACTAGAAGTCACTGATGATGAAATTCTAGAGTGGGGGCACGACCACTACACTGCAAGGAGATCCCAGTTTGAGTAAAACTATAGTTACTCTGAAGGCTATGATGAAAGCCTTCAAGGAGGAGGGAGAGGGTGTACTACTCGAACTAGGTATTATGGGAGTCGAGTTTAGGGAGGAGCAGGAGAGGGCACCAGCAAAGTTGATGGGGGTACTGGAGGAATTCAATGAGAGTTTTGAGGAACCTTTTGGGTTGCCCCCACAAAGATACAAGGACCATGCCATCCACTTGCAACCTGGAACAAACCCAATTAGCGTGAG